ATCTGTCTCTGTCTCTGTGTATGTGTGTGTGTGTGTAAAATACTTGTGGTGCACACTTATAATCCCAGCCTAGGGAGGCTGAGGCAGGAGGACCAGCCCTCAGCCTGCCTAGTGCTGGAACTGTAAACGTGCAACACCACACCCAGCCTAAAACATTTAATAAGGAAATGCTAAAGGCTTCCCTTTAAAATCCATGGCATGGATCCAGTCACCATCACATGTCTACTCAACACTGCAATGGAAAAGTTCAAGAAATCATGAGGTCAGTCACTCAGTGAGTCACAGGACTCAGTCCAGCATTTTACATCTTTCATTACAGTTCTCATTACACAGCATTTCAAATACCATTCAGACATGGGTTCCTTAAGTATTATCATTTTAATTCCTTGCTGGTAGAATAGCTGGTAGTCTGCAGTAGGGACAATACAATAAATTATGCTGCGAGTCAGTATGGTATGTCAACACCAATAAGCAAGCTGTAATTTGATTTCCAATACAGTTGTATGAGAAGAAGGGCCACCAGGAGGTGATTCCTTCAGAAAGGCTCCACCCTCATGAGCGTATTATATTAACACAGTCTCAGAGAGGTGCGTGCTCACACAGGTCTGAATTAGTATACTTGAAGGAAAATTGTTAAAAAGTGAGCCTGGACCTCCCCTCACTATCATAGATGTTTCCTCTTTTGCATGTGGCAGCTTCTCCTTCTGCTTCCCCACATTAAAGATGTGGCCTTCACCAAATGTGGCTGCCAGATTTTAGACTTTTCAGCTTTCTAAGGAATAAAATAAACCTTTTTTCTTTATATATTACATAATCTCAGGTGTTTGTTAAAGCAATATGAAACTGATTGAGATTGTCTATTAAGATGTCTGTTTACTATAAAAGGGAAGAAAGATTAGTATAACTTCACAATGTCACTGCTATTTCAAGTTGATGTCTCTGTGCTCATAAGACAGTGCAATCACAGACCTAAGGTCTTGATACTTATATGAGAAACCCTATGTGGCACCATAAGTCACATCTTTTATCTCAGACTCTTAACCTAAACACAAGCTAGAATCTTTTTATTCCATTGTATTTGATAATTCTAGTTGGAAAGAAATAAAATGAAATGTGTGAATAAGTTTCATTGTATATTGTCTATAACAGCTTGATTTTAAATAGTATGTTATGCCTTATACTCCATGAAGAATACAAATACTTTCCTCTTCCTTCAAACAAGATTAAATTTATACCAGAAAACTAGATATTATTGCCTTTATTTTGCTAGTTAAAAGAAAGGGCAAATTCATCTATCTAATTCATCTATCTAAAAATGTTTTCATTACCAGTCAAGAAAGGGCAAAGTAGGGGTCAGGGAGATGGCTCAGTGGAATAAGCACTTCCCTGGCAAGCGCAAGGACCTGAGTTCAATCCCCGGTTCCACCAAAAAAAAAAAAATAATAATAAAAAAGAAAGGACAAAGTTGCTCTTGCTGTGAGTGGCCTGAGGTGACCTGTGAAAATGGTTTGCTACTCTCTTGACCTAGAAAACCCCACAAAAGTCATAAAATGAGAGGCTCAAATCTCTGTGTTCACTTTAAGAACATGTGAAACTGCCCAGGTCATCAAGAATATGCATATCCAAAAGGCCACCAAGTATCTAAAGATGCCACATTAAAGAAGCAATGTGAGCCATTCTGGCATTACAATGCTGGAGTTGGTAGGTATGCCCAGACCAAAAAATGATGAATTTTTGCTGCACATGCTTAAAAACGCAGAGAGTAAAGCTGAACTTAGGGGTTTAGATGTAGATTCTCCGGTCATTGAACATATCCAGGTGACCAAGCACCCAGGATGCATCGCCATACTTACTGAGCTCAGGGCCAGATTCACCCCAATGAGCTCCCCCTGCCTCATTGAGATGATCCTTACTGAAAGGGAACAAAGTGTACCTAAACCAGTGGAGGAAGTTGCACAGAAAAAAAGATATCTTAGAAGAAACTGAAGAGATAGAAACTTATGGCATGGGAATAAATTAAGCATAAAATAAATGCAAATAGAAGTTTTTAAAAAGGGACAAAGTGAAAGAATTTTACTAAAGAAATTAAGAAGAAAGCCTGAAATGTACAAAAAGAAGGGCAAAAAAACTGAAAGTGGTTGGGTATGATGGTGCATGCCGGCACTCAGGGGGCTGAGATAGGAGGATATGCGCTGAGGCCAATCTGGGGCTACCTACTGAATGTGTTCAAGTTCAGCTTAAATTGAATAGTGAAACTTTGTCCAAACAAACAAACAAAAATGTAGAAATGAATTAATCAGAAATGAATGACAGGGGCTGGTGAGATGGCTCAGTGGTCTAAAGCACCTACTTAGAACAAGCTTGGCAAAGCACGGGGACCACGGTTCAATCCCCCAGCACCACATGCCAGCCAGCACCACCCCCTGGTGGGCTGAGCTGGCCACACACACACACACACACACACACACACACACATTAATTAAAAATTAATTAAAAAAAAAATGAATGACAGAAAAATGTGAAAGGGAATACAACAAATCATGGGCAGTTTTTCTTTTTAAGTGGTAAGATTAAAGGTAATTTTTCTTTCTTATACTTCTCTGTATTTTCTGAATCTTATGTAATGAACATATCATTTTCCCTGAAAAAAATCAAGTTGTTAGGATGCCAAATTATTTTTCATTGACACATATACTTAACGTAATGCCAATCAAAATACCAAAAAGATTGATGAAAAATTGAGAGGACTTCAAGAAAATGCACCTGGGAAACTAAACATTTTATAAAGAAGCCATAATAGAAAATTTTTTATTAGGTAACAATGAAAAGTTTCATTTATCTACCTACAATGCAAATGAATGCCTGGCTAGTAACATTTAATAAAACTGCTTCCATACCTTCAAAAACAAATTCTGTGAATATAGAACACAGGCAGTGATGACAACTCCTAACACAATTAATAAGGCTACCAAAAAGCAGACTGCAGAATCAGTGTGCACAGTGACAAATCTTTAGATGAACTGATAAAGAGGTCTCCATAGGGGGACTATGGCACAAGTTGTTTCTTGAAACAGTAAAAACCCTTGAAATAAGGTGGAAAGATGCTTTTAATTTCCCTTTCTACTTGACCTGTAAGTCATACACCCAGAGCTTAGAGAAGAACAGAAGAGGAAGCCATCTCTCTGCAGCGAGGTGAACAGAGTATCATGCAATCACTATCAATCCTGCAACATGTAGCAAAATATCAGACCAATCAAAAGATTATTTAAAATGAAGCAACTAAACATGATCTTGAGTGGGGAAGGACTCTCCAAGCTAATTTTTTTAAAAAATTACAGAAAATTATTAACAGATCTGAATGACATAATTTAATACCAAATGTTGGCAAGAGCTCAGGAAAACAAGTGCTCTCAAGAACTTCTGGTGGGAAGAAATTGGCATAATATTTCTGGAGGGCAATCTGTTGAATGTGTTGAAAGTCTTTAAAATGTTTATGCTCTTTGACTCACTAAGTCAACGTCTAGGAATTTTTCCTAAAGAAATAACCAGATATTAAAAATGCATTTGCAATACTGAAAAACCGGAAAGAACACAGATGTCTAATAATACAAGTATGTTCAACAAATGGACACTAAGTGAATATAAAATATTATCTGGCCTTTAAAAGAACATTTAAGAGTATCTGATGGTGAGAATATGCTCAGAAAGTATTAAATGCACCAAAAAGTTAGAACATGTACAATATACTAAACCTTAACCTTCTGTGGGGATTGAACACAGGGCCTGGTGCATGCTAGGTGAGCACTATACCCCTGAACCATACTCCTAAACCTGGGTATGAACATACATACACAAACATATATTTGGAGGAAAACCCAAAATAGTGGTTTATTTCTTGGTAGGAAAATTGGAGAAGATCTTAACTATCTGCTACTGGCAGCTAAAAGAATGCTAGACCTGGATAACTATAATTCAGTCTTGTTCAAGGTTCAGCTCAGTTGCTACCTCTTCAGGACTCCCCATGCCTCTAATATTATTTGGTTTTTGAGACAGGGTTTTGCTATGCAGTTTATACTGGCCTTGAACTCATTGTAATCCTTCTACCTCAGCCTCTCCAGTGCTGGAATTATAGGTGTGTACTACCATACTCAGCTGTGAGGATTCCAATATGTACTATGAACCTGAAAGAAAATTCCCATTATTCTTACATTTTTTTGATGTTGGGGCCTGAAAGCAGAAACTCTACTCATGTGAGACAAGCACTCTGCCACTAAACTATACCCCCAGCCTATATTCTTTATCCCTGTATCCGCATCCTATCTGATATGATTTACTAAACCACAGGCATACTTTGAATTGCACATAGCCAGAAATTTAAGTTTTCCTCCTTTATGTCCTCAGTGCCAACCTGTCTAGAATCTAAACAGGTCTTTAAGCTACAGTGTTGGATTTACTAATGAAAAAGAACTAATAATTTTTTCTGCTCTACAAATTTAAAGGTCAAGTAGACAAGCATTAACAAGGATGAATGAATAGCAGTAACACAGTATTTCTTCTTACCTTAGCTAGCAGGCTTGAAATGTTTTTAATTTCACCATTTGCTTTTTGCAACTCTTGTCTGAGCTCAGTGCAGGACAGTTCCAGTTGATCTTTCTCAGCTCGAGCTACTTTCAACATTTCCTGAAGTTCACAGTTCTCTGCTGTCTGCCCCAAGGTACTACTGGTCTCCATGGCTTTTTGCTTCTCACCTTCCAGATGAGCCTTCAAGGACCCATTCTCCATCTTCAAGCCTTCCAGGGTAACTCTACATTCTTCCAAAGTTTTGGTCATCACATTATTGTTACACCGTTCCACTTGTAGAAACCCATTCAGCTTTTCATTTTCTTCTTTTAGGTGCTTGATCATGTCCAAAGCTCCTTGGTTTTCTTCCTCAACCTTCCGTAAGCTACAGGTCAACTGCTGCTGAATGTTGAGCAGCTTCTCTCTTTCAAAGCGGCTTTTCTCAAGAATATCTGTGCATTTCTGCTCTAAGTCGAGGATTTTCCCCTCTTGGGTGCTGGGTTCATCATTCTTCACTCGCTCTTGTAAAAGGTTTATCAATTTCTCATTTTCTTGACTTAGCTGCTCTGCCCTCTCTCGATGCTGGTGAAAAGATGTCTCTAAAATAGTCTTCTCATCCACCAGCTTCTCATTCTCAGCTGTAAGTTCCTGTACCATTTGCTGCTGATCTGATAACTCCTGTAGAGTGGCCTGTAGTTCCTCCGCAGTGCTGTGGTGATTCTCTTCCATCTTCTGTATCTTTTCTGTAAGGGAAGCAAGGGACAGCTCACTTGCATTGTTTGGAGAACTCCCAGTGGTTGAACATTTAGAGTTCTTAAAAGGGTTGCTAGCAGAGGACAGGGGCCGAGATAGTGTATCAGTGGTGATGTGCTCAAAATCTGAGGCATCTGGTGACAAAGAAGCTTTGGTAACATCGCTGCTTGAAGAACCAGATGTCCGTAATGTATTTCCATATGTGTTTTTCTTATACTCATCAATTTCACTTGATAGTTCATTCCCAGTTGGGCTTCCAAAGCTTGACTCTTGAGTTACAGATGTTGGGCAGCTGCTGTCACCAGTGTGACTTGCTGCCCCCTCTGAATTTGGTGACTGCTCAAGGTAAGTCAGTTTTTCCTTCAAGACCCGGTTTTCCTCTTCTAGGTCTGCAAGCTCTTTCTGAAAGCTCTTATTCTTCTCCTCAAGGGTTCTTATCAAAGGTTCTGTGTCTCCCAGTGGAGCTGATGTTCCATCTGAATTTGGGTCAGAAGCATCAGCCCCCTCAATGCTCAGAGCCCTTCTTTCCTTGCATTTCTTTAATTCACTTCGAAGCCTGTTGATTTCACTATCTTTGGCTTTGGCTTCTGCTAGAAGTTCTCGAACTTGGGACTCAAGCACAGCCTTCTCTCCCCCTTCATTTTCTTGTTTGAGTTTTGAAGAAGTGGTCCTTAGGTGTTTAGTTGGGGTGTGAGTACAGGAGGAAGTTGGACTGGACCCCGATTTCTTTGGGTTGGAGGGACCTCGTGGAACAGACCTTTCTCTTGAGATGGTTACTGAGAGCTCCCGGGGAGTTGGAATGCCTGTTCGTTTGGGTGTTGGAACTAAAGACAGAAACAGAAGAAAAAAATAAATGAAGGGGAAAAAAGCAAGCACTTTTGTAATGAAAGCCAAATGACTTCAAAACACACAGCATAGTGGATGATATGGCTGTTACCCTTCATGCATTTCCTTCTCCTCTAGTCACTTAGTTCCAAATAGAATTCTGTACCTCCTTCTACCTCCCTATGTGCTGATGTGAAGCTGACTCCTAACCTGAGCTGCTCAGAACAATCCTATCATCAGCCATACTTGCTGTTTTCAGGCCCAATGCACACCTGGTTTAAGTATAATGAACACAGGAAAAATTTTCAGATAAGGCTGTGAACAACACTGGACATCAGGGGCCGGGGAGATAGCTCAGTAGAATAACTGCTTGCCTGGCAAGCATAGGGTCCTGAGTTCAATCCCTGGTACAGCAGAAAAAAACAAAAAAACAAAAAAAAAAAAAACAGACAAAAAAAACAATGGACATCAGTAAAAGGGCATGTGGATATGAAAATGGTTGGTTGGCTACCACCTTGCCCTCATAATAGGGAAGTGAGAGTGATCCTCCTGTTTTCAGCCTCCCAAGAGCTAGGATTACAGGTGTGCACCACCACGCCCAGTCTCAGTGCCCTGGGGGTGGAGCCAGCGCAGCATGGTGGGGGGATTGAACCTGGGTTCCTGCCTGTGCCTAAGCAAGCACTTTAATCTACTGAGCTATCTGGCTGGCCCTTAGGAAACCAAATTCTTTGTGTGTGTGTGTGTGTGTGTGTGTGTGTGTGGTACTGGGGATTGAATTCAGTACCTTGCGCTTGCCAGACAAGTGCTTATTCTACTGAGCTATCTCCCCAGCCCTTGGAAGCCAAATTCTTAATGGTACTGTTGAACTGCTAAGTCAAATTAACCCTAAATATTGGCCTACTGATTGTTTTCCAGTATACACCAGCCAATACATATGCTTCATGTAAGTCACCTTGAATCAGGGCTTTCTGCAACTTGCAATTTAATACATCTGAACTGGTAATGTTAGCAACTAAGCCACAGCCTTTTGACAAAATAAATGTATTGTGTATTTTTCAATAAAAGCTTGTAGAACACATCATTATCGACATATTTTGATGGAGCACAAGTTTAAGAAATCAAAAGAAGAGGTAGGCATGTAGCTCAATGGTAGAGTACTTTCTTAGTATGTGCAAAGTCAGAGTTCCAGCACTGAAAAAAAGAGGAGGAAGAGGAAAAAGGGAGGTAAGGGAAACCCCTAAAGAAATCAGAAAATATAAACAATACTAAAAACTGATATGACCAAGTGATGCATCACTTTTAACACAAGTGGAAAGCATATGCTCATTTATATACATAGAAACAAGAATAAGTCAGACAAAGGATGTATTCCGTGTATCTACAGAACATTTATAAATGTTAAATCGATTTATATGACAGAAATACAAGATTTAGAATATGTACGAGAAATGTAAGATGTAAGTAATTTAAATTTTTTCATCTATACTACATTAAGGATCATACCCCCCCAAAAAAAATTAGTGATGAAAACCAAGTATCAATCTCCTTTATGCGATGGACTTGAAGCTCACTTTCAAGGCTATAGGGAAATGAAAATTCTGAATCTATGTAACAAGGGCAAAACTATTTGATGAGTCCAGGCTGACTGGTATAACTTAAAGAAGGATTACAGGAGTGGCCACCAATCTCTAGGTCTTTACAGTACAGAATGGAAGTATGGGAGAATGCACACTCAGATTGACTGCAACCTTGGTGCTAACACAAATTTGGAACTGAGCCTGAGCCAGCTGCTGCAAACCCACCACCAAGATTGTGAGCAACTGCTCACATGGCAGCTGCTAATCCAAAAGGCTGACTCAGTCATGATGGTGCACAGGCAGACAGCAGTATTGCTCAGAGCATGGAGCCCTTAAATCATCATATAATAAAGACCACACTATCATTAATACTCAGAAACTATAGTTTTTAAGTTAACTTTTCCAAATTG